AAATACAGCGTGAGTGGTGGCGGGAACAGTAAAGCGGGATTATGGTGGGGTAAAGGTTAATTAAATTTAATTATACTTATAGCTTCCAATTTTTCTATTTTCCAACCATTCAAAATTTATTTATAATATTATGCATCGAATTGATTGTTTTGATGCACATAATTTTATAAAATTGATTCGATTGAGAGACCCAAAATTTGAGATATATTTTAAAGTTACCAATATTTTACCTAGTTTCTCAAAACTGATTATTATTATCTTTCCTCATAAAATTTTATCCTCAAAATTCATGAATTCCACATCAACTATGTATCTAATGAGGATGAAACATAAAGTGATTTCAAAAATCTATTTCTTATTAAGTGATAACTAAAGCATATGTGATAAATTATACATCTAATAAATCCAACATAACACCCAAAAAGATGTTTCATCCATCAAACTATACATCAGCATCAGTAGTAACACGCTTTTGAGGCTTGTGATGAGTTAAGGCATAAACTCTTGAGTGAATGTTCTGCCTTTGTTGCTCCTTACGAGTCATGGTGCTAGCTTCAGTTATTCTCTGTTGACCAATTCTAGAAGTAGATCATTCCTAAAAAATCTTTTAAGTTAAATCTCTTCCTAGACTTACATCTGATGTGAATCTCTAATCAGACTTAGGGCAGTTTCTTCTTTGACGTTCAGGCTATCTGCATGAGTAACACACCTTCAACTTAAGTAAACATTCATTACGATGTTGTTTTCCACACTTAACACAAGACTATATAGTGTTGCTACCAGTCTGACTAATAACACTACCAATATATGACTTCATCTTCTTTCCAATAGACTCTCCTCCTGAATGAATTGCTGGTGTCACTTCTTCCAAACATTTCTTCTTGTGCGAATCTCCATGCTTATGAGTCTGCTGAAAATCAATTTCCACCAAATCAATTTCCACCAGCCTAGCCCTCTCCACTAGCACAGTATTAATCTTCAATCCCAAGTGGCACTAGTGGCCGCCAGATTGAATTATTCAATCCAGAAAGAAAAATGTGGCATTTCTCCTCTGCATTTGGAATGAATTGTGGTGTGTATCTTGATAACATTGTGAATTATGGTTCATATTGCATGACTGATTGATCTCCTTTCACCAACCTAATAAGATTATTTTGCATCTGTCTCCTCGCCGATAGTGGTACAAACTAACCTTTGAAGATTCTCACAAACTCATCCTACTGTACCAAGTGACTGATTCTACCTCCTGACTTCTCTTGCATCTGTCCTTGCCACCATCTTTCAACTTCCCCCCTCAAAATCAAAAGTGGCAAGGGTAACTCTCCTCCCTGATGGACAAGACAACCCATTTAAAATCTTCTTCACTCTTAATAACCAGTTTTTACCCTCCTGCTCTAGAAAATAATGTGGCCTCATATCTTGAAAGAGTTTGAAGTACATACCCAGTAATGCTCCTCTACTACTACTAGCTTAAGATTGAGAATTCTTAATCAGTTGAGTCACTGCATTCATCATATCAGAGAATGCACGGGCACTGAATGTGACATTAAAGAGTACAACTGATTCTACATTATCTCTGACATCTTCCTCTGGATCATCCATAATTTTTAACTAATAACTTAATTTAATTATACTCAATTAAAAATTTTAATTTTTATTATTTATAACTTAACCTAATTATTATATTGGCTCTTCCATTAAGATTTAAATTATTTAATCTAAACCACTTTTTCTGATACCACTTTTGTCATGACCCGGCCCAGGGCTTCGAACTAATCAAGGCGAGAACATATGTTTGGATGATGAATAAAATTATTCGCTATTTTTTTTCTCTTACTAACAATTTAATATTAAAAAAAATCACGAAAGAGTCACTAAAGAAAACAATTAAAATTAACAAGCAAAATTTGTACCTTCTGATTTTGTCGCCTCGTATATACATTTGATCCTTTTATATTCATTTTATTCAAAGTTCAAATTAAAGAAACCTAATGAATTATCTAAAAATAACGTATAAATAATCATACTTCTAAACTACAATAAACAAAGAAACAAAGCAACATTCAAGCTGGACTTTTAAATCTCTATAAAAAATCTAATAATATGCTAGTTTTTCATATTTTCATAAAGAATTTTATATATGTGATGAATGTATCAATGACATTTTTCTAAAAAAAAAATTCAATTCTTCTATACGTATTTACTTTATATTTATTTTTACTTTATACTCTTTACATACACATCTGTCTCGGTGAGGATCATTGACAACAAAAATTAACACACCCTTAGTCGATATTGTCCCATTAGCTCCAATTAGCACAGCAGTTAGTGATATAAACATTACAATTGTTTAGAGCGGAAGGGCCCTTGCTTCCTGACAGATATTATCCCGTCAGCATAGCAATTAGGAATGTAAACAACACAATTGTCTGAGGAGGTAAGCTTTGGTCTACTCGCCCTTGGTCGATATTATCTCGTCGACATAATTGTTAGTGATCTAACCATCATAATTATCCATGGTGATAGAAAAATCTCTACATGCGTGCGTACACTGACATCCCCTAGAAGTACAATTAGGGGGTGAACTCCTTTAAACATGCACATACAAGCATTCATATATAAATTATTTCATTCTTCATAGCATAAAGTATTATAAGACATCTTCATGCATCTACTAATATGAATATCTAATCTACTTTGCAACTATTCATCATACATATCTCTTATATCAAACATATCTCTCATATCAATCATACTTTTTATCTCATGCATACCTCTTACTTGTATCATACATATTTTTTCTATTATGTCTATCACACATCATGCATCTCATGCATATCTTTTCCAATCTAACGATTAGAAAAATTTGTTGTAATATAAATCTACTGAACTAAAGCATACATGTAATCAACTTACATTTTGAAATAAAATAAAATTATTCAAATTTAAAAATATAATTACTCAACTCGGTTGTCACACTAAATTCTTAATTTTCGCAACTAGTTGGATGTCGTGATGACTTTAATGTTAATCTTAATAACCTATGGAACAAAAAATCAAACTTTAAGATTCAAGCGATTTCAGTTAATCGAATTAATCTTCATTCTTAAGTTAGCATAGGATTATTTTGCTTAAAATTGATGGAGCCCACTGTACGATAAGCTACCACAAGTTTGTCTCGAACTCGCCGCCTCAAGTAACAAACCTGAAATCTTAAATGACTTAGGAATTCAAGATATCTTAGCTCGTTAAGTAATTTAACTGAAAAAATAACTGATTAGCTTAAATGTAATTTAATCCACTTCTCGGCAACCCACTCCTCCGAAGCTACCAAAAACTTCCTCCTCTCTTCTCTTATCTTCTCAATCTTCCCTTTCCCTTACTGATATCGCGTTAAAACTCTTACGAAAACTCAAAAACCACCATCGACATTAACGACACAAATTCAGTGTCTTTGACGGCCACCGAAATGCAAACGATGCACAATTTGTGGCAAATTTCAAAATGGAAGTAAAAGAAAGAAAATAAAAGTCTCAAATGTCAGTAAAATCAGTTTCGCGCTTATTGATTTCCTTCCGTAGCCCTCAATCATGCTCCGTAGCCCTCAATCATGCTCCGCAGCACTCGGTGAGCCACAGGTCTATGCTCTGCCCGTGACTTCTGCTACAGGAGCCGTGTCGGAACCTTTTGCCAAGCGTAACCGAACAAGGAGAGTGGGACAGAAGGGAATCGGGAGAGCAAAGGAAATCTCGAAGGTTGTGGAATGAGTATTTCCCCCCATTCGACTGAAACCCACGATAAATATTGCGTGAGAGGCGGTGGGGAACAATAAAGCGGGATTAGGGAGGGGTAATTAAGGATTGATTAAATTTTATTAAACTTATAACTTCCCATTTGTCTATTTCCCAATCCATTCAAATTTTATATATAGTATTATATATTGAATTGATTGTTTTGACGCGTAGAGTTTTATAAAATTGATTCAATTGAAATCCGATGGATCCAAAATTTGTAATACATTTTAAATTTTCTAAAATTTTACCTGATGTCTCAAAAAATGGTTATTACACCTTATTCCTTCCAAATGATAAATTAGGAAGTCATCAAATCTAAACTCCACTTGTGGTTATATAAGAGCCAAGATAGAATACAGCAGCAAATGAAAACCACAAAAAGAAGCCAACGTGTATCAAACTTGAGAAATTTTCAATCATGCGCGCATACCAATCACTATATGGTTTAGAAGAAACAGTAAGGACATAAATCATCAATTGAATGATCCAAGCCTCAAACTGGTACAAAAAGAATCTTCTCTATAAACTTATTATCAAAACTTGGTTGAAGAATTCACATACAATAACACACAAGAATTGAAAGTAATATTTTATTCCGCTATTCAATCACTCAATACTTTATTCTTGCTTCCAGATTTTTATTTATAATCCAAAAAGAATCGAAATAAGTAATTTCTCAGAATTTCTTAGATCTAGCTTAATGCTGCAAGTTTAGATTCAACACACTTGAATCACAACAATAGCAAGTTTCAATCTTGTTTCAGCAAAACTGTAATTTTTAAACTTAAGATTATCGTTTCTGCAAATTTCAGCAAGTCTCGTTTTTTCCATCTACAGTAGAATGCTGAGAAAAGAAGGAAACCTGAATTCTAATATCATGCCCTCATTAGCAGAAGTCTCGGATGGAAAAACCGGATATGGGTGCAGATGAAAATAATGACATCAGAACATGAAGGCAAAATTTATCACCGGCTAATGTGAAAAGCCAAGGAAGACATAAAATATTTGAACATATCTACAGCACTAGCAATGGAGGAAAAACCAAAATGGGAACTCCATATCAAGATTGCAACTCCATACTTAATTTGCTTAGCATAAATTTCAAATAATCACAAAATTCAAAATTATGAATAACAAGTAAATATTCCTGACCTTTTAATTTTACTAATTTCCAAAATATTGGACCAAAAGCAATTGCTTTCTAACCTTGAATTCCTTCTACAGCTGAAGCAGTCTCATTAGCAACAGCAGCCCATACTTCTCGCTCCAGCGCACAAGCCGCTAACTCATCTCTACAAGCCCTTAGAAGATCAACCTGCACCTGGTATGCCCTGCTTCGAGGAAGAACCCCAGGATTTTGAGCCTCGGGAGTGGGACAAAGTGAAAGAAGTTCTTTGCAAACTTCAGACCCAGAATTATCTCTCTGTAAAATTTCAGCACACAGTTCAGAAATATCCCGTCCAAGCAGTCCATTCGCCATGCAGGCTTTAGCAATTCCAGATGCAAGATCAGCATGATGATTACGAGCAGATTCACAAATTCGAGGATAGTCTATGGAGTGATGAAGTTCGTCCAGGCTCACACGCCGTGAACTCTTCCACATGGAGAGCATTTCTTTGCAGTCCAAACTGCCTGAGCCCATAAGCCACATACCTAAACTGAGCATTTTTGAAGGTAACAGAAGCGGGAAAATCCTAGCTGTCCACAAGCATTTGTCCCTGGCGTCAAGTGAACTCCACAAATCTATTTCTTGAATACCCAAATCAAGTAAAACTTTTCTCCATGGCTTGCCACAAAATGTCCCGCCATTTTCAGCATACATTTTTGGATTATCTTGGAGTCCACAGTAGACAATGACGGTTCCCATGCATCCTAATAAAGGAACCTCCCAAAGGCAATGCCGATCAGGTAATACAAACCCAATTTTATTTTGTGTTTCAATGCAAGCTCCTTCGGTATGCACACCAACAACAATGGATTGAGAACCAATCTGTATTCTACCAGAAAGGGAAGAATCATAAACCAATGATTGCTCACGAATTGAAACACCAGGTGAAATTCTGCTAGAAAGAATAACTGCAGATGGAGCAATATCACAGACAGTGGTATCTGGAACGTAGCACAAGTGTCTACGACATACGAGTCCCGAATAAATACCATTTAAATGATCCAGGACTTCACTTGAAGAACCAAAATGTAAAAATGACAGCCCGTCTGCACATGAAAAAAAAAAGGAAAAAAGATCCATAACCAGTATCTCAAATTAGTAACGCTAGTAAAAATAAATGAAAAGCAATATCCATCTTCATGTTCTGCAAAATCAACAAATTAAGAGTGCAATGTTATGCTTCTTTATGTTTTGCAACGATTTAGAGCCCAAAATATGCTTGTTGCAGTAATGATCTTAATTTTGGCCATATTTGGAGGATAAATCTTTAGAAGGAAAATAATAACAGTTACAGTAAACTGAAGTTTGTAAGAAGGTTAGTAGTACATATTAAGACTAAAGTTCCAGGGACAAACAGAGTGCTTATACAAATAATTACCAAAAAACAACATCCCGCTAAGTGGGGTCCGCTACATGAATCCTTTTTCTCTTTGTACCCTATTGAGTGTCATATTTTCGTTAAATTCTAATAGATTAATATCCATTTTTATTTAATATGCCCAAGTCTTTTAGGTGTACCTTAAACTTTCTTAACATGAGTCGAATCTAAAACATCTACTCAACAAAAAATAATTATATATGTCACAAATATATTTAAGAAGTGGGTAAGATATCACGGTGTTAATATCTATAAGAAAAAAATCAAGGTAATGATAATGGAGGGGCTGATTCCCACAATTGGCAGAGGATTATTATCCATCAAAGACGGCATAAAGTTTAAGCACCACACTTCTGCCTTGTCATTTTTTTTGTCACTAGTTACTGAATGGAATATGTTCGGTAATAAAAAAAATAGTGCAAAAAGCCAAATAAGTATTATCCAAACATTAACTAGAAAAAACTTTAGATGGAAAGAAAAAAAAGATGCTATTAAATGTAATGTCACTGCATTTTAACAACCAAAGAGTGGAAATGAATTTATCTTTTAAAATAAAAGAAAAAATATCAAATAAGAAAACAATGCATTTTATAATGATTGAAAATAACGTATACATGAATTTTTGTATGTGCATGTTAAGAGGAGTTCACCTCCTTATAGTACTGGCTGGGGATGCCAAGGTATCGGTACACATATATTTTGTCTATCCACTCGAACAATTATGAAATTTAGGTAAATAACCACTGTACTGATGAGAGTATCAGCTTGGGGTGAGTGGGCACTCTACCACCTCAACCAATTATGCAATTTAGATCATTAAACATTGTGTCAAAGAGTATCAGACAATCATGTAAATTAGATCACGAACTGCTATGGACTTGATAATACCCGCCAGAGATGTGTTTGATTATATTTGACGGTGCTAATGAGACAGATGCAAAAGTTAAGACTATAAAGTAAAAGTAAAATTAAATGATAAATCTTGAATACTAAAATTAAAGTTAATGCGTATAAAATTTTAGATTATTCAATTAAGAAAATGTCAATAATACATGCATTAGATTATTATATGAATTCCTACAATGAATTATGAAAGATCAGCATAAAGATTGTTCTCTTTTCCCTGAGTTAATGTAACTTAGAAATTTAATTGCTCCACTGAGTTGTCTTAAATAACTTATCATATTATTTTAATTATTTTTCAGGTCTAAACTTTTGAATAAGATAAATCCTAGAAGAGAAAATGTGTACAGAAGGCGAGATCAACAACTAGAAAAGTAAATTTTTTTTTGTTAATTAAATTAGTTTCTTTAGTTGAACTTTCAAGTAAGATTTGGTTATTAAACTATTAGTAAATAGAAATAAAAAATAATAAAATAAAAACTTAATTTCATAATCCGACTATCTGTTCCTACCTTATTTAATTCTAATACCCGGAACGGGTCCTTATACCCGGCTAGGATTGCTATTGGTTCTATTGTTAGAACTTAGTCCTACAAATAATTTTTTATAGAATTTATTTTTTAATGTTATTGTAGTATTTGAATTCATTTGATTAAAGATCTATTGCCATCAATTTCTCAGCTTGAAGTTATTTGTATGGAGTTTGGATTGGTTTTTATGATTTGGTTCAATTGGGACCCGTTTACTATTTTATTATTTTGAAAGGTTTTGCTATTTAATTTTTTAAATAACTAAGCTATTGTTGGAGTCATCATATGCCAATACCAAGCTACATGATTAAGTTGCTTACTTGCTTGGTTCAATAAGTAAATAGGTTCAAAACATTTTTTCACTTAAGAAGGGAAAAAGCCATATTAAATCCTATGGTGTCCGAGGGCATACCACCTAGGATGAAGTATTGGAGAAAGACAGAAACCTTTCTTGCTAGTTCCAAGTATGAATTATAGTCGGGAAAGACGAAAAAAGAAGATACCCCTTCAGTCCTTTGACCCCTCTTCTATAGTGGTAGTATGCCCTCCCATATAGTACAAGATTCAACTATAAATGAGTAAAATGTACACTTAGTAAAATTGATTAATACTAGAGCAATTTAATTTCTTGTGAGGAATACAAACTTTGGCCGTTAGGTTAGTTCATGCCCTGTAGCTCAATGCAAAAAGGTTGCAATGTGTCAGAGCAAGCTATGAGTCGACCTTTACTTTCTTAGCAGCTCTCCTGCGCTGAGCTAGTAGCCTACCCAATCAAGATTAGTTAACGAACGAGTGGCCATTGGTTCTAAGTCTGTTGGGCTAGTTATCATAGAGAAGGTGAGTTAGATCAAATATGGGCGTACTATGCTCATTGCCAAATCTTACTACTATTATCGCATCATACTAGAGTTTGAGGTCAAATTCATGTCATGGGGAAATTGAACATATTTGTTTCGCAAATTCTCTTTTTCACTTTAGAACAAAAATAATATGAAAATTAATTTGCGATTGAAAATCGTTTATTATTTAATTTATAACATTTATCTATTTCAATAAATGATTGATATGATTTAAGATTCCCTTCATCCTCCTATACATGCGAGCTCAAGCAAGAGCTTGTACTCTTCTTATTTGAGAAACTCTAACCCAATTGCGCCGTGAGATTGCTTAAAAGATGGATATCTCAAAAGAGATTTAATATTCCTTATAGTTACCTAGCATCCAAGTTATATGGCAAGAGAAATAAAGATGAGGGTTCCTCAAATAAAAAAAGGAAGAAGAAATTTAGGATTGAAGGAGCTAAAACTGATTTCTCCACTGTGAGTTTGTCGGAGGAGGCTCACTCTTCAGCTTAAAAATTGGTTTTTAGTGAGTTTAGGGCTTCAGTGGCTAGTCGCTTCTAGCGAATATTTATTTTGATACAAAATTTTAGCATAGTTCTCTTTATATGGCTAAGTTTTGTTAATAGATATGAAGTTTATGTAGATAAAATTTTTCATGTTTTGCAAATGTTGAGTGAGATTTTCGGTGAGCAATACTTTGTTGATCAAGTCGTCAGAATGGTATATTTACGAAGAAGGGGGGCACTGGGGAGACCTTGGTTATAGTGGCTCTTAAGGTTGATTCTTTCGCTGTCGTCGAGGCAATACGAAGAGTAACTCCGGCCTCAGTTGAGTTAATTGAGGCAATTTCTACCAAGATGGGGGAGGACGATAAGCTATTTCCCATGTGATGTTGAAGTTTTGAGTTGTCCTAGGTGAGTTCCCTGATGGTGGGTACACCTAAGGCTAATTCATTGATCAGGTGAGCAAATCTTTGGATGAAGAATGACAGGTCTATTCCAGGAGGAAGTTGAAGAATGGAGACCAACTCGAGCTCTGGAACTTATTGGATGATACATTGGTTACTACTGACAATAGCACTCATCTTACCAATTTATCAGATGGCTCCTTTCCTAAAACTAGAGGCAGAGACAAGGCAAAATTGGGTCACTCTCTAGCTATCTGATACTACATATTTTGGCATTTTCAGAATAGACCTGTCATTCCCGAGCTCAAGCCTAAATGAGCCAAACACGAAGAAACAAATTTTTGTTCGTGTTCGACTCGTTAATTTAGCGAATGAGCCTGTTGACCTCATTTTTGTGAGGTCTTCTCTTCTCCTCCTTAGAGCCTAGGATCTAGTTCTAGGAGTTCTTATTGATCGTCTTAGAAAATTAGAATTGATACCCACACTTTTAGAAAATTATAGCCAATTCTTATTTTCCTTTGATGTCTAACATTTTTGGCACAAGACCATCGTCTTATGAATGAGCGATTATGGGCTATTTTGCGAAGACTCAATAGAAAAGTTCCTAATAGGACTTCAAGCCTTAGGAAAACATCGTCACGATTTTTTCGTCACATACACACACCAAATACACAAAGTTCACAAAATTGCACGAGGTCGGACTTCAATTGAGCCTGAAGGACGGGTGAAATGTGAATTTCTCTGGATGACCTTCGACGACAAAATGGACTACGTCAACGCGTCCGGGATACCAATTTTGGTAAGAAAGGACACCCATATTGCTATATTTTCGACACAAGAAAATTGGCACGCAAATCGATGAATTTGTCAAAAACGACTTCCGACGGTGAAATGGACCGCCAGCACGTCCGGAACTTCAAAATTTCCTAAAAATGATACCAATTTTGTTATGTTTTGATGCAAGGATAAAACATAAATTAAAATTTTATTTTTTTTTAATATTAAATATTTCCTTTTATATAAATATCTTTAAATTATAATTATATTATAACCTAACCCTATTTTAGGTTCTCACCCGCTCGCTTAAACAGACATTTCAGCCTCGCATTAGACTCGATCCCTCAGCTCATCCCGCTCCTCGCTCGTGCCCTAACTCCACGGCAAATCCACGCGGCACTCTTCTTCCCCAACGTTCACGGCTCGTCTCCTCGAGCTCCTCTCGACCGAGCAACCCTCCAACCGCGAAGTTCCACCTGACCGACCCTTCTCCTTCTCGAGGCTATACGTTCTCTTCATTTATGGTGTCGATCTCTTTCTTTTGCTCGATTGGTAGGCTAGGGCGGCAAACGATCGACATTCCTTTTTCTTTTCTTTGTTTTTTGGCTTCCTGAGGGATAGTTGGGTGCTATGTGTGAAGGATTGAAGAAGTTTTTCTTTTGCTAAAAAAGGGAGAGAGTTCTTCAGAGAAAAAATTCCTAGAAGAGCT